TCGAGAGGGTTAGGTTTCCTAGCCTATCATTGTCACCCTTAGCCGAAAGGTTAAGTGATTTAGCTTTCTAACTTGTTGGAACGATTCTCAATTAGCTAACTATGAGAGTTAGGGATCTTCTTGGTTGATCGGTGAAGAGGGCTAGGTTCCCTAGCTATGAATTGCATTCCTTGACCTAACGATTAAGAGAGCTAGTTCCCCTAGCTTAAATTTTTTGATTTTCCTTCATTGATCGACTAAGGGAGTTTTTCCCTAGCTAGTTGCACCCACCTCGTGGTGTATGAACACGTCTTTCACACTAGAGCTTTGTTTGTCGCTTCTTAGCATGAGTAGGGGGAGCAATACCCAGGTGAAGTCCCCTCAAGTAGAATTCTCTACCATTTACTTTCCTTGCTTGTTTAGTTTGTAGTTTTCTTATTTTTAAACCCAAAAATTGTTAAGCTAGATAACAACTTAAGCGATTGAATTAGGTGTACATGGACCGGCCCGGGTTTGACAATTAAATACTTTCCTTATACTGCACCCGGCTAGAGTTAAAAAACTTGGGCTCTAGTAGGGATTAATTCGCGGTGTAGTTTCGTGCGAGTCAGAAAACCTAAACAACAAGTAATTAAGAGAGTTTTATAACTCACCACTTTCCAAATCCAAATTCTCTTCATCATCTTCCAAATTGTCAATCTCTCTGAATCCAATATTTGGATACTTTATCCAACCCTCAGCACAAATCAATGCCTCCACCATGGTATCACTCAAAGAGAACCTGAAATGGACTGGGAATCCAACCGCCACTGCTGAATGTTGCCTTTGAGGCAACAGAAGAGATGAGTACAACTAGGATATCCTTAGCCATTTCAGCAAGAATCAGATATATTCCAGAGTGTCGGAAAAACCAACCCAAGATGTCAAACTTCGCATCATCACTCTCCTCATTGATACCATTAGTTTGACATTTCAGATAGATGTCAAACTCAGCAGAGCTACCTCCTGTTTCCTGCAGAAGTGCTTCCCTTTTCCTCTTCCTGAGTCTCTCCTCAAGCTCCTTAATCCTATCACCAACACCTTCAATAATACGCCCCAGGGGGAGGGTGTATGGTATCAAAGTCACGCAGCACAACGATCAATCCGAAGATTGATTGAAAAATCGAATCAAGAACAAAGTGTTCTTAATACGAAAATTGGATAAAACGGAAACAAAAGTGAATTCTTACATCTGGAAGAATGCACAATCATTATGGTGAAGCTTTCGATATAATCGAGCATGATCGCTCGATCAATAAGTAGGTCAGCAAGTTTTCATCGCAACCAAAACCCAAGAACAAGTTCGCAAACTTGAACAAACCAAACGGTTTCTTTTCGATTAATCAACTCTGTCTAACTATTACAACGAAAACTAGAAGGTATTTAAAGGCAAATAAACCTAACACAACCCTAATAGAACTAGGAAACAATTAAGGTAAAAGTATACACTAAAAAGGACACAAAAATCGGATTTAAACTCTCTTTCTCCAAGCGCAAGTAAGGTGCCAGCAAACAGTCCAAACGCAGCTTTCGTACTAACTTCGCGCCTTTCGTTCGAGGCCTTCCAGAACTCCAACCCTTCATCCAATTCCTTCCCTTTGTACATAAACATACCTAGTTTCATGTTGTGGAAGACTTTGGACTTGAATCACATCCATACTCCTCGAATTAAGCTCCAAAGTAGGCTTCACAAAACAGTTTCCAGACAACCATTTTCTGGCAGTTTTCCAGTTTTGAGGTAGCAACTTTGAGGCCTTGGAAACAACCTTAATGAAATCATCTGGATCCACAAAGGATATCAATGGAAATATGGAAACTTTATCTACAAAACAAACCCTTAACCTTGAATTTCCACCAATCCAATTGAGAGAACCATACATCCAAAGTATGTACCCTGAACACGGATTTTGACTTAGCCAAATTCTGCCTTTCTTCTTCCCAACTTCGATAGCTTCTTTGTCAAGTAACTGTGACGTGAATAATGGGCAATTTGGGATCATATCATTTAACAGAACTACCACCAACAATGCTCTGATCAGTGGTAGGCTCAGATGCAGAGGATGGTGCTTTTGATACATACTTCCCCTTGTAAACCTCAAACATCTGGCGCATCTCCCTTTTAATTACCATCTCAATTTCTCCTCCCCTCACACCCCAATAAATTATTTCCAAAACCTCGGATACCAAATCAAGTTTAGTTCTAGGATCAAGCACACATGCTATATAAATTAAGTGATTCATCTTCATGTTCTTCTCATTCATAATACGTGTCTCAAACCAATACTTTTGTACATTTTCCTCAACCTTTTCTACCATCTTTCGGATATCTTCATGCGGAGCCTTCTTCAATTCCTCAATGATGTCATAAACTGGAACAAGCTTCTTGAAGAAGAGATGGGTATTCACATATTTAGTTCTTGTACAATGAGAAGATAACACAGAAAATTAGAGTGAAACAAATAAAGATGGTCAAATAGTTAAAATAAAACAATCAATTCAAATTCCACCAACCTGATACTAGGAGGGTCAAGTCATTGAAGACTTTCAGATACTTCATCAACTTCCTAATCAACTGCCAATCTTGTTCAGTTGGAAGACCACCTCTTGAGTCAACATAATCTCTAAAGGAATGATTGTGTATATTTGAATACAAAGTTGTAAACACTCCATCAAACCTTTCTGCTGACTCTTACATGATATATGTGGAGCTCCACCTGATTAGTACATCCAAAGACACCAATTTAGTTGACTCCACATTCATAAATTTTATGGCAGTCTTGAACCTTGTCAACCTAGCTGGTGATGACCTCACCCATTTCACACAGTCCCGAACTCTATCCACAACACGTCAAGTCACTTTCAGTCCATCTTGTACCACCAGATTAATGATGTGTGCCACAAATCGAAACTGTAGAAACTTCTCATCCATCAAATCACACCCCCACTTCTTTACCTTCATTCTCATGCAATCACTAGGAACATCATTTGAAGTTGCATTGTCCATGGTCATGCAAACCATATTCTTCACCTTCCACTCTTCTAGAACTCTTGCAAGCTTCTCTGCAATATCCTTTCCAGTATGACTTGTGATGGGAACAAAGGATATAACCTTCTTCTACAACTTCCAATCACTTCCAATAAAGTGAGCAGTTACACACATGCAATTCTTGTTGTTAGTATAAGTCCATGTATCCGTGGTGATTGAAACCATGCCTTTGCTCTTCGATTCAAAAAATCAATCAAATGCACCTTTTTATCCAAGAAGATATGGTAGAATTCATCTCTTATAGCTTTCCTCCCTAGTATATTAAACAGTGGCTGAACAACTATCATGAATTGCTTAAATCCTTCCCTCTCCACAAAGCGAAATGACAACTTATCCATAATGATCATCATGGATAAGGCATATCTAGCTTTTGCCTGATCAAACTTCCATAAAACACTTACTTGACCACCACCTGTTTGCAAGTTCAAAACTGTCTGATCTTTTGCTGCTACCACATTAGCCAAACATGAATTCTTATGGTTATTCATTGCAGTGGTCCCATTTTTGGAAGGATGAGCTTTGATGTGAGTCTGACTATGTATGAACTCTCCCATCGGATACTCATCAACCACCACCTTCTTAAGCACCTTCTTACCCTCCGTCAGCATCCATTTCTCTAAGCCGAAAGGACTTTTCTCTGAAGGAGGAGCAGCCGTGTCAACAAATGGAGTCTAAGCAGGTGTACTTCCACTATCGACAGGGGCGAGATTCGATGGTGTTGATTAAGATGGTGGAGCAGCTTCAACAGACACACTTCCTGAATGCCCACCAAGACCCCGGGTCTAAGCTGGAGTGACTGTGGCACCCGCACCACCACGACCTCGAGGAGCCGGAGGTCTCCCACCACGTCTGTGAGGAGCAGTCACAGCCATAGGGGGACCTCGTCCGACACATCCACCATGAGAAGCCGGAGGTCTCGCCCTATAGAAACAATTACATAAATTGAGAAATTGAAACTCAATTATCAATTCAAAGAAATTATAACTTATTCAAACAAGCATCATCAACTCACATTAGTTCATTACATTTACAAGTTACACCTTCCACTCTTCAAAATCATCATTCATCTTTCATCGTCAACTCCAAAAGCACAATAATAATCAATTAATCTAAAATTCTACATCATCATCAACTCACACAACCATTATCAATTCATCATCAACTCCCATTATCTTAAGATCATCATCAATCTAATTCAATCATCAATTCATCATCAACTCCCATTAACAAGGAAAAAAACTTACATTATTGATGTGTAGGCCGAGGGGCTGTGGTGGAGATGCGAGACGAAGAGAGAGTTGGGCGGGACGGCGACTCGGTGAGAGAGTTGGCAGGGGTCACCGGTAAGGATGACAACAAAACCCGAACCCACGGATACCCACCCAACCCAACCCGGTCAACGCGGGTAAAATCCGTGTCGAGGGGTTTTGGGCCAGGTTTGGGTTTAAACCCGTTCACTATTCACCAGGTTGGGCTGGGTTTGGGTTTAGGTAAACCCGGCCCATGGGTACCTGCTCACAACCATATAATTATTTTTCTCGGTATATTTAATATTCGAGTTAATTGCATGGTTGGTCACTGAGATTACAAAAAACGTTCATGTTTGGTCACTTGAAATATTTAAATCCATTGGTGGTACTTTACTTTAGTGAAACCGTTCACGTTTGGTCACTCTCCGTTAGTTGCCGTCCATCTCCGTTAATTAAGTCTGTTAAGTGATGACGTGGCGGACGGAATCGTCTAATCAGCCCTATTTAACCCAAAAATAGTGCGACAAGACCCGCCACATCACTGAGACCCGCCATGTCATTTGAACCAACCCAACCCTCTAATCAGACCAGACCCAACCCGACCCGACCATTGAACTAACCTAACCACACAAATTAAATTCCTAATTTCTAAAACAGATCTCCACCTTCCCCCTTCTTCGATTATGTGGGCTTCCTTCATCCTCCCGACTTTCTTCCTCTTCCCCTCTGTTCGATATTTCACCGGCGACGGAGGGAAGGAGACGTCTGCTTGGACTTCGGCCTCACCGCCGCCGTCTGCAACCCGAGCACGAGGTATTCCACTACTCTTCAATTCGTCTCCAACCCGCGCGCGACCTCTGCTCCTTCCACTTATTACTACGTGAATTCCTTTGGGTTCGATCCGATTACCAAGAATTTCAAGGACTTGAACTCGTTGGGGATCCACGGGATGCAGGGGACGGAGTACAGAGTGCTCATCGTTGTCGGGACGACGTCGTGGAAAGCGCTGGAGAATGGGCCTCCTTACTTCCATCAGCGAGAAGCCTATGCTTTAACGGGGTAGTGTATTTCAGGAGCTGGGTCGGTTCGAGTAAGCGGGCGGAGGCGGTAATGGTGGCAGTTGATGTTCATGAAGAAAGTTTCAAGAAAATCCAACTCCACAGGGATGCACCATCGGATGTTAATTCATCTTCTCTAGCAAAATTGGGAGGTTGCCTTGTTATAGCTAAGTTTGTTCAAGTTCAACAGGAGCCTAGGCTAAGCTTCTAGGAGTTGGACGATTCCTCTGGCAAAATCTGTTTTGGGTGGAGCGCAGCTTTTTGTTGACTGAATCGTCCGGCTCCATCCCTCCTTCGTCGCCGGTGAAAGCTGGAGATTTGTTTAGAAATTAGGGATTTAATTTGGGTGGGTAGGTTAGTTCAAGGGTCGGGTCGAGTCGGGTTAGAGGATTGGGTTGGTCATATGACATAGCGGGGCGGGCCGCACTATTTTTGGGTTAAATAGGGCTGATTAGACGATTCCATCCGCGACGTCATCACTTAACGGACTTCATTAACGGTGATGGACGGCAACTAACGGAGAGTGACCAAACGTAAACGGTTTCACTAAAGTAAATTACCACCAATGGATTTATATATTTCTAGTGACCAAACATGAACTCTTTTTGTAATCTCAGTGACCAACCATGCAATTAACCCTTTAATATTCTAAACAACTAATATTTTTTATGTTTGTGGAGACATGTCTAATTTTTTCTTTTTAATTGTGTAGAATGAAGTTGATGTTATCGAGTGGAGAGTGAAGAAACTTAATTGAAAGGAAAAAACTTTCAATTAATCATGTTATTTATGGATAATTTATGATTTGCTTCAATTTTCTTGAGTTTTCTAGATTGGTGTTGAACAATTTGTATAGTTAATTTGTGATTTGCTTGAATTTTCTAGAATGGTGTTTTATATATGGATAATTTGTATTGAGAGATTGATATTTGACTTTAATTTAGATAGGAACTTGTTATTGTAAATGTTTTACGACAAAAACCCGTGAGTACCCATGAACCTGCGGATACCCAGCGGGTTGGGTTTGAGTTTTTCAAACCCAGTGGATTTCACCCCGGGGTTTTTTCACGGATAAACCCATGGGTTTGGCAAAACCCGACCCAACCCGACCCACTGCCATCCCTAGTCGCCGGGGAGGGAGATGGAGGGGGAGGTCTGGCTGGGGTCGCCGGGGAGGGAGATTGCGGGTGAGGTCCCAGCGGGCGATTCGGAGGTGTTTGTTGGAGCCAGTGATTGAAGTAAGGGTACACGGACCGGCCCGGGTTGATATTTAAACTTATTTATCCTGTAGTGCACCTGGCTAAGGTTTATACGTGGACCTTAGGCGGGATTTTATTGTGGTATTCGGGACGAGTCAAGTTATTAGCGCCGTTGCCGGGGATCAACGGTCTGTTATCCTGAAAAAGCTGTTTGGTGTTAATCTAGTTATTAATTTGGGTTAATATTTTCGTATGACCTGAACTTTGACCAAAATAAACATCCTGGCCAATCTTTTCGATCTATAACATCTTGGCCCGAACTATACACCAAAATAAACAATTTGGCCAGATACGACTTTTGACCGTTAACTTGGATGGTCAAACGCGTTGACCGTTAGTCAACGCGCCATGTCACTGCCAAGTCATCATAAAATATTGAAAATAATTCACAATTTTGCACACATTCCCTAATTTTAGATTATTATAAATTAAAAAAATCATCTAATACCTTAGTTAAACCAAAAATAAAAAATGAAAAAATTAAATATTTATCAGATCTTCTGACTTGGCAGTGACGTGGCGAGTTGACCGTTAGTCAACGCGTTTGACCGTCCAGGTTAACAGTCAAACATCGGGTTTGGCCAAATTGTTTATTTTGGTGTATAGTTCGGGCCAGGATGTTATAGATCGAAAAGATTGGCCAGGATGTTTATTTTGGTCAAAGTTCAGGTCATACAAAAATATTAACCCTATTAATTTCCAGCTTTGAAAGTGTGTGTGCTTTGCTTGTGCTAGACTTGGTGTGTTTTCCGATTGTGTGTAGGTGGTGCATGACCCGGAGTAACCTTGCACCTTTGCTACCACTTGACGAGGACATAAACCAAACTCTCCGACTCCTAGCAAGGGAGAGAGAGCTAGCGGAGGCAAGGAGAAGGAGTGAAGAAAGGGGACGATGAGTAGGTCCCGGTGCTAGTGTGGAAGAAGTAGAAGAAGTGGAATTTGAACCCGTCATTGAGTAAAAATGGCGGGCAACCAAAGACAAGATGGAGCCGCCCAAGCTCGTCAGCTAAACGATGCGGCGGAGGAAGAGGAAGCCCCGAGGATAATGGGGTACTATATGGCCCCAAGGCCGGTGGACATTCAATCGCCAATCCTGCATCCTCCAGTGGCGGCAAACAATTTCGAGATCAAGCCAGATCTAGTGACTATGATAGAAAGCAATGCTTTATTCCACGGCCTTGAGAATTTTGGAAGAACGAGCTCCGCCATGGATCCAACCCCTCCCTCCTCCCGGTTTGACACTAGAAGAGAAGGTGGCACAAGCTTGTGAAAGCTATTGCCTCTCAATATTGGAGGAGAAAGAGGAGGTTGAAGGGGCGCTCAATGAAAACCATGTGGAGCTAGAGGAACTCACCCCGGAGAGCTCTCATGGTGAGAATGAACAAGAAGGTTGCATTGATGACTCCCATCATCTTCCCCTTCCCGAAAGCAACTTTGAAGACCAAGACACGAGTGCGGAGGAGCAAGAGAATCCATTCTATGAGCTTGCATGGCATCTTGCCCTCCAAACTGTGCTTGAAGACATGAATGGGAAGGAGGAAGAAGTGGTTGAAGAGGAGGAAGTGAGCGTTGAAGAGGAGGAAGATCTTTGGTGTTCCATTTGGAGGAATCAAATTTTGAAGAAGGAAGGGAGGTTGAGGAAAAAGTAGAAAGAGCAAGTGAGGTCCCATATGAAGATGAGGTCATGGTGGATAAAGCTTCAACAAGTTAAAAGTGCGAACAAAGCTTTCCACCCGACATCTATGCGCTTTTGGAGAAGGACCCATTTGCGTCTCTTTGCCAAGCCAAGGCCAAACCATCGGCAATCCGTCTTGGTGGATGCGATGGGGGTAAATCGATGATGCATTACATGGTATGGGGCAAAGAGAAGAAGGAAGAAGGAAAGAAGAAAAGGTCTCATGGATGGAGCCTCAATGCCACTCAAGTTCACGAGCCCCCAATCATTGACTCGTCCAATGCTCGTGAGTTGAGACATCACCTCACCGACGAGAACCTCAACTTCGAGGAGGTTCTTGGGTGGAACGAAACTTGAAGAGAAACTGTCCGGCTCACAACGTTAAAGAAGAGCTTGGTGGGAGGCAACCTAACCATCAACGATGTGTTTTCTTTTGGCTTTAATAAGTCTACCTTTTGTTTTGCCGCCTCCTTGCTCTTCCAGATCTCACCTGCCCTCCGCTCGCGAACACCAACATTCACTACTATCCGGTAACATCGTTCTACGTCCCTATTTTACGCTGTTGAGGGCAATGTCGAGCTTAAGTGTGTGTGTGTGTGGGGGGGGGGGTAGTCCTTTATGCATTTTTGTGTGAATGATTGGTGCAATTTTGAATTCTTGGAGCCTTGATGTATGCCGAAATTTGAAAATTTTTTAGGGCTCCAAGAAATGCTTCTTCAAAATGGCCGGTTGGATGGTGAATCTTGTGCTTATTTGGCATCGCTCTTGATTGTTGCATATAGTCGAGTGCGTCCTATTAAGATGACTGAGAGTGTGTTAGGATTGTGCGAAGGCTTAGTTCTCATGTGTGCTTAAATGAATGGAATGTCTTGACTTGGTTACTCTTCGGTTACAATTGCCATGCATCGAGTTTGTGAATGTGGAATAGACGATTGGGCGGCTAGGTAGCCTGTGAGTTTTGAGCCGATCGTTTCCTTCTTGTGTGATAGTTCTCTCTCACCACGGTGTGTAGCATCACAGTTGTCATTAGCGAGTAGGATGGAGGCATAGGATTAGTCCACGCCCATATGTTGATTGTCCCGAAATGTGTTATCGCTTAGTCAACCCCTTTGAGGCTTGTGACTTCAAGGGTCGTTCTTATGTTAGGAGCTTTTTGCTTATGAGCTTTATGGTGTTGATAGAACAACCCCAATCCTTTCTTCGTGTCTTTACATGAGTCGTCCTTGTATCCCGAAGCTCTCACTTTTGAGTTCCATTGAGGTTCTACATAGGAGGATTATGTGCGGTTCTTGCTAGGAATGAAAAATGAAGTGTAGTGTTGGAGTGAGTTCATAAAAAGAGAGCATTGGTCATTAAATGTGTAGGTGGCATGTGTTTTACTCTCTAGTACCCCCCTCAAAAAGAAAAAAAAAAGAAAAGAAAAAGGAATCGAAAATGAGTTAATAAAACGGGGTAAATAAAGTAGAGGGTGCCACAAAAATCGAAGTGTATGCTCTAGGAGGGGTTTCTTGGAACTCAAGTCATTGAGACCCCCACATTGTTTTAGAACTCCTTCACTACGAAATCGAAAGGTGATAGCAAGAGAAGACCGAGAAAGAGCGCTTAAATGTAGTTCATGGTGGGTGATCGTTTGGAACAGAGAAGTAAGGCTTTTGGCCGATGCTAGTGGCCTTTGTTTGTAGAGAAGGTTCTTAGTCGAAACCATAGAACCTTCGGGTTTAGGTTTAAGATGCAGAACCTCATGTTGTGTTTGCCACTACCCAAAAGGCGTTTTCCCCATGTCCAAGACAATTGCCAGTCGTCTGAACTCGTGTCTAAGACCTCTGGACAAGATAGTGATGACAACTTTCCAGTGAACTCTAGCATTTAGAGGTTGCCGCCGTGGTGGTGAGATGGTAGGGATGAGTGGGGAGATTGTGCACATCTTTTGCACCAAAAAGGTCATGGCCCCACTGGTCGTGAGTGAGCGATTCATTATTGTTTTTGCATATTCATATCTATCCTGGTGAGGACCTATGTTGCCTTGTTGTCTGTTCCGTTGACTTCAGTTCTATGCATGGTCGGTTGTGATTGATTAAGTGGCCCGGTTGAAACTTGCATTGATTGTGGATAGAATGAGAACTTTTCATTTGCCCATTTTTTATGCAATTGAATGTCATTAGTGGTGGATGTCGGATTTGTTTGAGACGGTTCGAGTGTTGATGCCCAAATAGTCATTTGAGATGTCCCCTTGCTATCTCTAAAGGTTGAAATATTACCTAGGTTGAAAATGGTTTGCTTGGAGACAAGCAAACTTCTAAGTGTGGGGGAGTGATTCAGGCCCAAATGTACACATTTTACCCCTCATTTCTTATTCGTTTAGCTTAGTATTTCATCGTTCCTCGACATATTTCACACTAGGTTGTGCTTCTTT